TAAATATGTAACTCGAATCGAACGGAATGTGCAGAAATTTCGACGTGTAATGCCGACAGACTAATTTTACCTCGTGACTATTTGCGACATCACGTTAGCGGGAGTCTACGTTTCCGGTATTAATTGAGCGGTCTCGTCGGTGATGCGGCGCCAAAGCCGTAACGTCGCGTCGGATGAGATTCTCGGGGCCGCGAGAATCTCAATGAAAAGTATCAGTAAATTCTCTCGCGTACGGACGATAGCGTGCCTGTTGGCGGCGTTTCCTCGGTTTATTTATTCTCGGGTCAAGGGAACTACGTTTCTTAAACACCGGGGTCAAGGAGTCAATGAGATCCGGTTGCTCAGGTATGTAACTGCACAAGTGTTTGCCCGCCGAGTCTCACGGGCGTCTCGAGCGTTCGGTTTTATTCCCTGTAATTTTCCACGGGATTATTCCTCCCGAGTTTCTCCTCTGAGATAATAGATAGAGAGAGAGAGAGAGAGAGAGAGAGAGAGAGAGAAACAGTGAAGAGAGAAGAAAGGAGAGATCTCTTCTCGTCAATAACCACACCGCGAAATTGTCGCCGCTGTTCTGAATAACGATCGATAATATCCATGAGCGGCCTTTTTGCGCGCCAACAATATAGGTGTGACTCGTCTCTTTTTTATCCTTATCGGCATTGTCGACGCGAAGACATATTAAGCGAATAAGATACCGCGAAGAAACGCGTTGCGTATTTTTACCACTATTCTCTGGAGTTGCACACGGTATTGGACAAATAAGTTGACGCGTATTTTGCTCGCTGATAGTAATAAGCTCGTACTCGCCGTATTTTTAATCTTATCGCGAAGAAGAAACGCGTTGGCCACTGTTGGAAAAAAAGCGTTAGCAGACTATATTGGTAAATATCACGAACGTTATTTATTTCACGGTTAAATGAAAGGGGATAATTTTTATTATCGGCGACAATTTGCTTTATTCGATGGATTTTCTTTGAATTAGTTTAATATCTACTGGATTACGCAGTAGGGATAACAATTTTTAATTACTTTAACGGATACGTCCAATTATTTCGATACCGCCATTGTTTGGAAAAGATTCGCATAGATTGAAGTATCATGAATAAACAGATATCAATCAAAGTTAATGAAGTGTGTCCTCTTAACTGTAAATTATTACGCAAAATGATAATTTCTGATTTATTTCTGAATATTAGACTTTTAGGTATAGAAATGTGTTCTTAAAAGGCTCGATAATTGACAAATTATTTCGGGAGATTATTGTTTTGACTTTCTAAAGTTGGATCAATTATAAATCTTTTTGTCGGGAATTTCAATCTTCTTTATGTTATATCTGTAAAAATGCAAAAATTTGGATTATTATTATTAAAAATACTTCATTCTTTTTTATACGAATTGTCATTTTCGTTCTTTGAAATTAATTAGTGTCTTTTAATTAATATAAATCTTTTAATTAATATAAATTGAATGAATTAAAATAAAGTAATATTTTGCGACACTCCAATAGATACTTCCTATACAATTAAAATACCTGTATGAGCTTCAACGATTATTAGTGCGTAAATTATGTATTCAAACGTAATAAGATACGATTCGCAATTAATTGGGATGTACTTACCAAATGAAGTTAAATTTAACGTAAACGTTTCCCTCGACTCTATACTGGAATCTTCTTCAAGCGGAAATCAAGTACAAACTTACTTCGTTGCAAATTGTGTCTTATCGCGAAAGAATATATAATTTACGCACCAATAACCATAGAGACTTACGTAAGTATTTTAATCATACTGGATTTATTCTTGGCTACGAATATTACTATTTTATTTTATTTTAATCCAGTTGATTATTATTTGTATTAAATTAAATGAATCTTACAGACTCAATGTCAGTAATTATGTTAGATTTTGACTTCATTCAAGATTAATATAAAGAGTTTGATGATTTACGGCCACTAATTCACATATCGATGACTCGCGCGCGGTCTGGGAATCTTTCTGGGAGAAAGATAAGAAAGAAAGAGCTCTTGGTGCAGCTGTAGCAAATCGCGCGAGTATCTCGCGAGCAGTTGTCAATGATTCCGCATGTCCACCCCGCTGCCCTCAATTGTCTCCATAGACCGCGGCTTCCTCGGACGAGTCCCGGGGCGCGCATATTGACGTCGCCTGGAAATTCTACGAAGCGTGTCGCCGCTAGTCCGGTCGGCTCGCTTTTTCTCTCTCTCTCTCTCTCTCTCTCTCTCTCTCGTTCTCTTTTCTCCTATAATCGAGCGGCAGGCGCAGCCACCTCTCTCTGTTTTTATTCAACTCGTTCGTAGCGCCGGACATCGGGCGGATTCTTGTCTTCAACAACCGGTAACGAGACTCCGCTACGGAGTCACGAAGCGCGTACGTGCGAGCACGTGAGAGCCGGGAAGAGCAAGACGGAAGACACAAAGTACGATGTAATCGCGACGACGCCATCGCCTCGAGTGGGATATTCGCTGGGGAAGATTGAGCTGTCCGAGGGACGATATTTGCGTGGCGGTTCCAAATAAAGCCGAGTGTGTGGAATAAAAGCCTATGGCACATACAAAAACGTAAGGCAGTAACACGTAAGCAGTAAGCAAATTGGCCAATCACGGTAAGAGACCGTAAGACCAGTAGCAAATTTAATGTTACCATTTCCTTACTGCTTTACTCTTAGGCCTACGGAATCAGACTACGGAAGCAGACTGCATTAAAGATGAAGATTGAAGATAAAAATTTGACGGCAAGGAAGACTGAGGAAAAAGGAATTTTAGCTTCTGTTTTGATTGATCAGATTTCAATCTCAATCTTCAATGCGTAATCTGATTCCGGCTTTAGAGAGCGTTTATATTGGCCGTAACTGTCAAATGCCGTAATCTGTAAAAATTGATCAATCATCTTCGAGTATTTCCTTCTTACTGTCGAATCAGAAGGGACTTAACTGTGATTAGTCAATTCTTACGCTCCCTTACTTTGCCTTACGTTTTTGTATATGCCATGGGCTTAGCTCGTGGAAATTGTCACGAGGCACAACGATGTCGAAGTGGGCTTTTGAAAAAAAAGGCACATTTATGAATAAAGCTCTTTTTAAAATGGATGCTTCGAGTGTAATCACGACGCTGTCACTTCGAGCAAAATATTCGATCCGAAGGGATTGAGTCGCTCGAAATAACTCTTGTCAAATTGCAGTTCGAATAAATTCGTATATATGGGGGGGCTAAAAAAGAATAATTTCAATCGAATTAGTCAATTAGACAATTATGATACGAATTTAAATCGATAAGAATAAATCTAATTAAATAAAAGAAATCCCTTATTCGATCAAAGTGAATCTCAGTGCTTAAATATTTCTGTATGAATTTATAATTTATCTGATTCTACAAACCGTGCACTAAAATTCGTTTTGAGCAAATATAGAATTTCTCTTGTTTAATTAGACGTAATCAATTAGAATCAATTTGTCATACATCTTTAAACCATATTTGTTCCTATGATTATGATATTTCGATATCTCGTCTGTTTTCACATAGTTTACAAAAATAATTGTTGATATTACAATTCCAGAATTGTCAGAATTATTTTATTGTCTCTACATTCTATAAGAATATTTATGTATATATATATATATGCAAAATGTATAAAGTTGCGTCCATGACGCGAGGCATTTACGTAACGCGTAATGATTTCAACGTAAATAATCGGAATACGAGCGCGCAAATTTGTTCGCGCAGCGAACAGCGTTCGCCGCCGCGAGAAAATCGCACGGCCGGAATCATGGTGCACAGGTTAGCGAGTGACCATCACCATGCAAGTCGAGTACATATAGAGCCCGGGATAGTGGTGGTTGGTCGACCGCCTGTTACAGTGTTGGTGATGACGGTGCTTACGTGGTAGTGGTAGCCGTGATGGCTAGTGGCTGGCGCCGCCGGACGTTCAACAATGGTAGTGCTCCCCTTTCCCGCCTCCCTTTTACACTCCCCTCGTGTTCCACCGACGCCGCCAGTCGCATAGTCGTCAAACACCCCCGACTACTGATAGCTTCGAATCGGACCTCACGTGCGATTTTCCGATGATCCCTTCATTCATTATGTGTATATTTCTAAATGCGTTGATCTTGATTGTTTCCTCAGCCTCGTAATAAAAAAATAAATAGTGCTATTAGTTAATAACTACTTGATTACTTAACTATAAATTAGTAATGACTACTTAATTATTCAACTAATTAATAATTTTAAATAATTAAGTTAATATTAATAAACAATTAATTGTTTTACTAATTAGTAGCGATTAGCAATTATAATTAATACGTTATTCGTATAGTAATTATTATTTAGTTATTTTACTTTATTAATGAGATAATTAAATCAGTTTTAATTTAGTCACATATTTCTTATGCGAAACAATGCGATAAGAGCTTTCTTATTATTAAGAATTTTGTAAAAAGCGATTTTTAATTGATTTGCGTCCGAAGGTCCAATTTTATAAATCATTTGCAATTTATAATTGCAAATTTATATGACAATCGACTTAATATAGTTCAATCATTTTCGAGCACTCTTTTAATTATCTCAAATCGTTATACTTTCAGTATATCTAAATTATTTCGAATATTTCTTGTTTTTTCGATTCTTTCTTTTTCTACATAAAAATTAAATAATTCTTTCTCATCGAATTTACGATTGAGAGATTCTCACAAAACGCAAGATACAAATTGTACTCTCTGCAAGTCGCGTTAAAAATTGAGAAAAATTGGAAAATTCCGATCGGAGTACGTACTATAGAATTATTCAGAATGAATTCTGATCGGAGTTATTCAATAATTTCCTAAATTTCTATTTTTTTTTTGTAGAGAAAATAACAATTCTTATTGGAACCCATTCCGACTTGTTCCATAATACGTAGCCAATCGGTCAACAAGAAGGAGAGATCGCGTGAGGCTCGAAGCCACCGCTACTCCACTCGGGCAGCGATTGCGCCGTACAAATGCTGGAAGCGTCTGGAGGGTATGCGCGGGGAGCCGGGTGGGGCAAAGCTATAAAAAGACGCAGGTGAGGGGCGGAGGCCAGTCGGCTCCGATCTGTCAAACGATTCGTGTACAGTACTCCGCCGGCTGCGCATTCACCTTCACTATACAGTATACGCTCAGTTCGTCATCATATTTGGTGCGTAGCTGTCCGCTCGAAAACGATGTGGCTGATCGGTGAAATTAGTACCAGTGCGTGATCTTGCACGTGGTTCCACACCTGATCGTGATCGACCAACCAGAGAGAGAGAGAAAGAGAGGACTGTCACTCCACGAAGACGCAAAGCAACTGCAAAGTAAACAGGACGCAGGCAGTAAGCTCTTCGCTCTTCACGTGCTGCATTAACGCCTTTGGTGTTCGACGCACAGCTCTTTTCCGGCGATCGATAGGCACACGCGCGGTGGGTGGTGTGTATGTGTGTGTGCGGTGACGCGCTGTCGTCGAACGATCACCCAGACCCAGCAGCGGCAGTGTGCTCGCGAGCGAGGGTCGAGAGGAAAGAGCCGAGCGCCGGATCGATCGATTCCGGCCGTGTAATTCTCTGATCGCCGCCGCTACCTGCATGAAGGCGATGGTGGTGAGCCCGGTGAGCGGCAGAGTGCCGCCCAACCATCGCGGCGTACTGCACAACGGTCTGGGGATCGGCGGCACCAGACGCGACCTCGAGGCCGAGGAAGTCGCCGCTTACCTCACCAAGCTGCGCTCCCTCGTGCCGGACATGCCGCGCAAGCGGAAGCTGTCGAAGCTCGAGGTGATCCAGAGGGTGATCGAGTACATCTGCGACCTGCAGACCGCTCTGGAGGAGACGAACGCGGCGCATCAGGACGCGAAGACGATGACGACGGCGATGGCGACGGCGACGGCGACGGAATCGACGACGCAGTCATCCTCGAGGCAACCCATGCTGAACACCATCACGTCGACCGCCACGACGACCACTACGACGTCCGTCGTAACCGCGACGGTCGCCGATCGGTGACCTGTTGGTCGGACCCACTAGGGTACAGGTCACATCGAGGCCACCCTCCTCGTGGATTAAATGGATCGCTCTGCTCTTCGAAAAGGACGCCCGTCCGCCGATCTACTCTCGATCTGGGCAGTCACGGGAGGAGGTATCGATCATCGCCCGGAAGAGAAACCTACCCGGGAGACCACGTTCGAGGAACGCACCTACATCCGAAGACGAGAACGTATTTTGATCAAAGAGACATTTTGATCAAAAAAAAAAAAAAAAAAAAAAAAAAAGAGCGAGTCCAGCACTGGTTTTTACCCTTCTCTTCCGCGAAGGGAAATTGTAAATACATTTGTACATACGCTCATCGCCATTCCACACGAGATCTCTCACGGTTATAAGGACCCGGCACAAATTTCCTCTATCCCTCTTCTTTTTCGTTCTCCCCTAGGATCTTATCATTCCAATTTTTCTTTTCTAACCGACCGCGCGACACCGATCGAATCGGCCGCGAGACCAGCGATTCGATTTCATCGCGATCTCTGGTCTTTCGAGGCCTCGATTGACGGACTGTGGAAGTCCCATACAGCACAGATCGTTCCATCCACATAACGCCAATTATCTAAAAGATGTCTTAAAGATGTCCAGAGAATGTTCGAGGACATCCTTAGGATATTACTCGGAGAAGTGTGCTGTAGGCAGCAATATTGCAGCAACATTGCGAACTTGCTTGCAATAAGTCTGTTCGCGTTGTTTGAAATCGCCCCCAAAATTTTTGAACTTGGAAATAAATATATATATTCAGACGTCGAAGAGAGAAAAAAAGCGAAAATACCGAGTACAAGTCTATTGTTGCCGCAAGTTTCTGTGCTGCATGGGAGGCGACGCGCGTGTTTCCAATTGGCATTCGTTCTTTGATAAATTACTTGTTGTGTGACTGGGAAACTGGATCGACTCTCGAGTCTCCCGACGGCAAGAGTCCATCCATCCTGTTCCCATCGTCGATCGTATCGTAACGCGATATCGCGCGTCGAGTGCGGCAACACGCGCACGCGTTCGAATACACTGACAATGAGCGCTCGCAAAACGTTCGTTACACTCGAGTCAATTACATAGCCGCCCCGCCCAACTAGTCTCGCCGATCGATCGCCTTTTCTTGCCGGAGGTCCTTCCTTCCTGGAGAACGCGCCTCGTCGCCGAGTCGCGTGCGCGCGACGAGAAAACAGAAGATTTCTATTCCTCGTCAAGTCAATGATCGACGAATTTTGAATGTCGGAGACGCGAACGAGATGACGATCGATCGGGATTGGCTACAATTTCGCGGCGAGCATGCGAAATCGAACTCGACGAGGCGATTCGACGAAGGGCCTCGTTTATTTTCTAATCAAAGTTTTCGCGTTCTATCGCTGCTATTGATTACTGTATAGTTATCTCACTGTCGTTGTTATAGCCTCTTATGTTATAATTTAGAAAGTGCTGAAACTCCCCCCCCCCCCGACCCTCAACCCGCGTAAATATTGTATATTTGCAAAGACTGAAAGGCTGTAAGTACATCATTGCGCGGGCGTACTGCACTCGTACACACGAAAAATAAATACAAACTGTGTCTATACGTTAGTTTCGTGCGTTTGTTTTTATCCTGCGAATAGCTACGTTCCTGTTCCCTCGTGGCTTATTCTATCTCGATCACGCAAATAAGTTGACTAATACTCATTTCTATCAATAGAAATGCAGTGATTAACTTTAATCTTGGCTCAATTTACTCTCTCTCTCTCTCTCTCTCTCTCTCTGTCTCTCTCTTCATCTTTTTCTAATTAAATTTAAATTGCATTGACAGAAACGGGTATAAGGCTTGGTTCCACCATGTAAGATTAATTTTAATCTCAGTTTAACTTACTGTTTATTTTTTTCTAATTCTACAAATTAAAAAAAATAAACAGCAAGTTTCTCTTCGTAGAAATAGATACGACTAAATCTTAGAATTAGAAAAAGATAAAATTGAAGATAAAAGTTATAAATCTTACATGGTGGAATCAGACCTGATGTTCATTTCTATTAACGTTCATTTCTATCTTTAAAATCTCAATTTAATTTACTGTTCACCTTTTTTTTAAGCACATATGGAAAAGGCTAAAGAATAGATTTTCTTAGAATTAGAAAAAGATAAAAGGTAAGTGAATCAAAATTAATTTTCATTGGCAGAAATAGGAAGTAGAAATAGGACGGGCAGGAAGTAGAAATAGGAAAATAATTCCTTCTACATCTCTGAAAATCTACATCTCTGAGAAATCAAACACTAGGATCAACAAATAACAAAAATGATCATTAAAATTAAGAGCTAAATTCAATAGAAAAAGCGAAATTTGTCGAAGAATTTTTTTTTAAAATATACTATTAAATTTTGAGATATTTTTTATACATTCGCATGTTCGATATACGACTAAAAAAATAAAATTAAACTAAATAAGAAATAAAATTTATTATTCATACGTTTGTGAATTTTATTTAAAAAACTTAGGGTTTCTCATTAACTTGACTAAAAAAGATTAAATGATATATATATATTAGGTGTTGGAATTAATTCGTAGAGTTTTAAGATTAAAATTTTCAATAAATATAAATATACATTCATTATTTATAAATTAAAAATAAGACATATTTATATATATCTTTAAATTTTCTAAAAGTAAGATTGAACTTAAGAGAACTAGTGTCTGATGCTCTTTCAGTGTCGTTCATGAGACCGTAAATCTGTGAAGATTCAACGATATCGGGAACGGAAGCCGGATGGTATAAAGGGATAGACAGAGAGAGAGAGAGAGAGAGAAGGAACCGAGGGTTAAATAGGCGCACGTGCGCGCAACAATCTACGCACACGTGCGAGGAGGGATGATGGTCGTTCGCCATCGCCATCGGTCTCGTCGGAAGGCGAAGGATGTGTGTGGATTGTACAAGGGCGACACGTCGTTCCAGTGGGGTGTAGGAGTTCGCAAAGTCCGTATTGATCGTCTTCTGCCGCGGGTCACGTGCGCGTTCCTGGGAACGCTCGATCCGGGTTATACCCACGGGAACCGACCCCACGGTTCCTCGACATTCTCTCTTTCTCCCTTATCTCCCCGCCCTTCCTCTTCCACAATCGCTAGCGTCCGCTCTTCGTTCCCCTCTTTGAGCGAATGAACGAGGGGATGCATTCATTATTCCTCCGAGGATTTGGACAATCCTCTAAGAGCGTTCGTCTAAGGATATTAACCCTTCGTGCTCTTGATCTTCTTGTACTTCATGTAACATGAAGAAATATCTTAGAGAATATCATAGATCTGCAAAATTTAAAAAAATAAAATCATTGTAAACTTGGAATTAATTATTCTCAACTCAAACATTGCTGTTTCAATAATCTAGTAAATTTGAAAGGAATTAAAATTTTCATAATTGTATTTGTACTCCATCGTCATAAGATTTAATTCAACTTCAAATATTGGAATCTATAGATTGGTAGATTGATTGGATCTGTAGATCAAACAAAAAGTATCGAATAAAATAAATAGTCCTTGTTCCAATTTTGCGCCATTTCAAACGTTTCTAACAGACAGATAGAGGGTGAAATATCTCTTCCGTCGCGGGGGTAGTGGGCTACACTCGGTAACAACTGTCGGCTGATGACTGCCAACCAACAAGCACTGATAATGAAACTGAAGGCTGACTCACTACCGGGATCATCTTTCTTCCTTGTCTCGAATTGGCACGTGCGACCATCGAACGCGGGAAATTACGTTTTATGATGGTCGACATGAAAAATGTCGCGACATCAAGTATAAAAAGCGTCCACTTTCGTTTTTATTCTTCGAAGCAATTTTTTATTTTGATGGTGTCCCAGATAATATGTCCGCAATCGAGACATAAAATCATAAGAGACATGTCTTTAAAATATTTTACATTAACTGTCAAATTTTGATTGATTTTACACCTTTATAAAACATGTTTAATTGCAAATTGAAAGACTAAAATTCATAAAATCAATATATAGCAGGAAATACAAAAAAAAATAAATAAATAAATAAATTACGAACAAAGAATTGAAAAGCTGACGCTAGCTACTTTTTTCTATTACGCGTGTGTACAAGGAAAATGTATATTTATTAATAAATGAGGTAATTATGGCATTCATATTGCATTTAAATTTAAGTTAATACGTGAAATAAACAATCGTCTATTACATAGACTGTAAACTGTAATTTGTACATATTATGGGGTTACATACTATAAATTCTGTATAGAATTATAAGGCTAGTGCGATCATTATGAAATGTCATTGAACAGGAATATTTTAATTTTCTGTTATCAGTAAATAATGACGAAAGAAATATCTGAAAAGTGTTCAAGAGGTATTTAAAAATTTTAAAGCGTCTCTATGATGTTTGCAAATCTTTTAAAAACATTTCAAAAACTTATTTAGGAATTTCCTAAATATCTCTACATCAAAGTTTAAAATTTCTTTATGAATATTCCATCCAGACACGATACTTAATATAATTAACCTACTTTATAAATTTCAAGATACAATTATTTAAATTAGAATATTGAAATGAAAACCATTTCATGAAATAGTTAAGTCACATCGGTTAAATAAATAAAAATGCATAAACAATTTCTTGTTGAATGATTCATCAAAGTTTAACGTGTTTATTTTGATAAATGGAACTAATAGCTCTCTTTCATAAAAAAAAAGATGTTATATAATATGTAGTTTTTTTATACGAATACTGGTATATAATTCATATCGAGAGCATATCTTTGCAAATGGCATGTAATATGAATAAAACAATAATACAAAAGCAATCAACCTTCAACTGGCTCTTTTTAAATTATATCTATGTATATATAAATCATATTTTAAATAGATTTTGTTTTAAATATTGCTGTAGAAGGTTATTGAAAAACTAAGTTTTGATATAATATTGTTTCTTCTCATATAATATATATTCTTCTCATATATAATATATGAGAGATATCAAAGTGGCAATTCTAAATTTTTTCTTATAAATGATAAATTTAAAATGACGAAATCTAATAATGATTAATTAAGAATAAAACAATAAGACCACTGTAAAAGTGTTGAATTATGCCAAGATGATTTATCCGTGAGGTATAATAATTGTGTATATAAAATTGTATTTTCTCCCATTTGTTTTCACTCAACACTAGTCAACATTAAACAAATTAGCGTTTTTATCAAGCGTGCATACACGTGATTTGTCGAACTACACTAGTTTACAGCAAAAAAATTCTTTAAACCAGACAAGATATTTCTTAGATTTTTCAATATTGGAAATGCGATATCGCAAGCCTTTGTCCAGCACGTCAGATTTAAAAAATAATTGATCATTAATTTGCAAAAAATTAATGAAAACATGCTACATAAAACGTAAAATATTGAAAAAAAAATGCATTTTATAGGAGAAGAATACATTCATGACCTCTAATCAGAATTTTAAGAACGTTAAATACTATAAAAAAAACCATTTTGTGTATACTAAAGGTCAATTATTTCTCAAATGTGTTAGAAAAATTTAGTGCCATTACGTTTTCAGCATTCAAAAATCTGTAAAAAATACATTGTCCGATTCAAAATAATTAAAAAAAAAGTCTTGTAAACTAGTGTTATTTATGTATTATTTCGTACATAAGAGACAAGTAATGTTCTTTCACAATGTCAAGCAGTACCATAAGATATTCGCATAGTAAAACTACGCGAGATCGAATTATGCCAATGTCCTATTAAGGTATAACGGAGAGAAAAGACAAAGAATTATCTTTACTAGACTTGAGTGGTCAGATATTTTCTGATGGAGTCTTTTTCTCGGTTGAGCCATGCAGCATTCAATCTAATGGACTCCACGCACTGTTGCACCGTTCTTTCAGTGCCTGGAGTTGGATGACCCTCGAAGAAGCTCTCTACATCTTTGGCTTGTTCTTCGGTGACAAAATTCTCTGTTGTGAATTTTATTAGTCGTGCCAGCAAGAAGCCGCCTTCATAACGATCCAACAGAGTCTTCCATTTCTCCTTAAAGAAATTCCATGCCATGAGACGTCCTTTGTATGACAAACTCACAGACATAATGGCAAAGACTGTGTCTTGAGCACGGACCTCCTCGCTCATGGAGAAATCCAGGACCTTTCTTAACAGAGTTTCATCTTTGATTGCACCAAGCGCTCGCAGAATTCGCTCTTTCTCTTCTTGAAGATCAGCTTCTTTATACAGTTTTAACATAGTATCATAAGTATTGGCATCACCTACGGAAAGTACAGCACGATAAACTGGACTGCGCAAATCAGCAGCGAGTGTTGTTGTGCCGTTTACGTGCAACTCAAATCTTCTTTTCGCTTCTTCAATAGTATCTTGATCATTTAATGCTGCCATGCGGCCTAATACGAGAGATCTGAGTAACGTATTTAAATGACTTTCATTTGGCTTAGGATTCCAGCCTAATCTGACATTAACTTCACGAAATAGATTACGTCCAAACGCTTTGAGAGAATCCTCAAAGTCTAAGTGAGAAATGAGAATACCGATTTTACTTAAGATATTCACTATAGTGGACCACACGGTGTAGTTGTCC